CAGCTGCAGCGTTTTCAGTTGCACAGATGCCAAAACGCGTGACCCCAAAGCTAACTGAGCAGACGGCTAGCACATAAGACTTTCAGCTACATCATGATGCCGCTAATGATGTTGCTGTTGCTGGTTATGATGACGGCGATGATGATGATGATGAGGTTGATGATTATTGTGGAAAGAACCGCAAGAGCTAATTGCTTATTCACAACGCATAACCTTGCCTTTTCATATGATGTCTTCGCTTCAGTGTGCTGCAGTAAACCCTTCTCTAGGTGACTGCCATGCAGAGAGAAGTAGAAGTAGAAGAAGTAGAAGAGGAGGAGAGGAGACGAGCAAAGAGTTGTAGAAGAAAACTTTCATCTTGGCTTAATTGAAAATGCAGCGTAATGCCGCAGCAGAAAACGACAGCTGCTATGGATAAGCGGGGAAAACAGACAGAAAGAAAAACAAGCGACAAGAAAATAAATAGAGAGGAGCAAAACGGAGAGAGAGAGAAAGGAAAAACACATTAAAATAATATAATTATTACCCTAGACTCTCTCATATATATATATATATTGTGTCTAAGCTGCGATTTATTTGTAGAGCTCCGGACTCCGGAGCCGTAGATTTCCGCATGCTTTTTCAACCGTGAATAAGCACGAACTTTCATTTTAAAATTCTAGAAGCGCACGCCCCAAAACACCAGACGACTGCCCAACCTAGCCACGCCCCCTGCTTCATTTCTTTCTTCTTTTTTTCTGTATGAGTGTTCAAGTGTCAATTTGTCGAGTTGTGCATTAAAAATGAGAGCAGCAAAGCAAAGCAGCTCTTTAACTGTTCTCTCTCTCTCTCTCTCCAGCGAAGACATCATCATTAGCGGCGAGTAGTTCGTTCTCTCCTATGAGAGAATTCAATTCGATTCATATCGTCTCCGCTTCATGGTTAACAAATTTTCTGTGGAAACTTTCATGGCTTGTAGCTTTTGGCTTAATTCTAATGCCTTGTCGCGCGGCGACCTGCAACGTGCCTCGAAACGGCAATGCGAATGGCAATGGAGATGTGACAAATTAACCAGTTGAGAATCGCAAATTCTAATTGAAATTTGTAGAAAGTTCCCTTGGATTGCACTTGACGAAATTAGCAAAAGAAGTTTAAAGACAAATTTAGAAATAAACAAGAATATATATATTTATATTATATATGTATATTTAGATTTAAAGATTAAAGTTTTATTATAGTTTGTATTATGTAAAATATTCGATATGAATGAACTCAAGAATTGCCTGTTTAGAATTGTTTATTGAGATCTGATCTATTGATGATATTCTATAAATACTTCTTATACCAAGATGTTCTCATGCAACTAAGCGATTCTCCATCCGCTAGAAGTTTTCTCTTTCAACCGCTGCCATAAATGTGCTTTAGCAAGTTTCTCTAATTGCATTCTGTGACAATCATAAATAATAATAACATCCTATAGCATACATACAATTGCCTATATAACACTTTCTTTTTACCATTTGCCAATTCTAAGTGGAACAAATTGAGCTGATGGAACTAAATTCTATTTAATGACATTGAAAAAAAGAAAATATAACTGCTAGCCATTGCATAACATAGCATATAACACATTCCATATATTGCTGCTCAATCAAAACTATAATAGTTATCCCAGATGCAGGGAACATTTGTGTGTGTGTGTTTTTTTTTTTTTTCCTAAAAAATCTCACAACTTTATAACATTTTATATTTGATTAATTGTAGCTCAAGTAAAAAAGTTGTAATTAATTTTCATCTCTTTCGACCGCATCTTCTTTCGTATATAACATTAAAGGCATGTATTTTCAGTGGTATAGTATAGCTTGAGCACATATTTTCTTCCTCTAAATCTCTGAAATGTATAACAGTATGCATCTTCTTTTTCAATTACTGTATAACAGCTTTTTCATTTTATGTATAACAATTTTCTATTATATAGTTGGTTATTTCTCTTTTGGGGGTTTTCTAAATAAAATTTAATCAGTAGAACACTTTTGCTTTGGTATAACACTTTTGATACAGCATTTTCCCTTATTAGTTGCTTCAATTGGTTTCAGCAATATATAACTGTTATATGATCTATAATTATATAAATTTAATGTATATTGATTTCAATAATTCTACTTTTCTAACCGTAACACTTTGTTTCAATTCCGTTCCATTTCAATCCGAGTTAAACCGTTTGTAGATTACAGTTTTGTTTTGTTTTCATCGCTTCGCCTTGTGAAAGTTTTCGTGCGAGTGTCAAACGGTTTGGCCATTCCTAAAACTTTTTTCACGCCTTTTTCTTTTACTTTTCCGTGTGCACATACAATGAGTCGGAAAGAGAGAGGTGGAGAGAGGCACAGAGTGGGACAGACAGATAGAGATAGTTAAATTGTCTTCGCACTTGTTGCCTTGCGTGTTACCAGATGTGTCTGCCCCCAGCCAGTTGTTAGTGGGTTTTGATTGAATCAATTTGGCGCTTTGGTGGGGCACGTTTCCCATTCACGACTGAGAATTGTGAGATAAGCGCGTTTCTCATACAGCTACAAAACATTGCGAATATGTCGTATTATCATCTCGGAGTTCTCTATATAGATTTCTGGCGCCGTTCAATCTTTGAGTCACGCTCAGTCACTGACGTGTTCCTTCAATCTGTTTCAACTGATTGGCAATACAAAGTAGATATACATATATATTTTATATAATATCTAGTCAGCACTCACAGCTGGAATAATCTTCTCCTCCCCATTCACATGGCTTGGGCAGAAGGATTTACAGCTTACGTATCAATTATAACTTTTTTTCTTACATGATTCAGCTTGCATGAGTCATCAAGAAGAAGAATGCTGGGATTTTACTGCGATTTAGCAAATGATATATGGGGCATTCCCTTGATTAAAATAACGATTTTTGCCATACACAGGCAACAGCTTTAGCTATACACTCAGCAATCAATTTGAATATCTAATTTGTCAAGATTATAATTGAATGCAAAAATTTACAATTTAGATGATTCTCATGTGATGTATGCTAGAAATATTATTTTAAGTGATTTCTATATGCTTCACTATCGTTCTTTATTGGCTGTATAATATAATATTCCAAGTGAATCAAAATTAAACCATAGTTTTAATAGTATTATGTGTTATATATGGATATAGTCATATCTTTTTCCCTCAAATGAGTTCCTTATATGAAGTCATGTCTTTTTCAATTTATGCTATATTTAATATATGCATGTATTCACCCACTAAAGCCTTCTCTCCATATTTAACTGTAAATGGGTGAAGGTAAACCGCTTTGTGTTGCCTCCTTTTTCTTGCCCTTTCCATGACTGCCTTATATTAAGGCGATTCCCCTAACGCCCCTCGCACTGGTTGTCGCCCCCCTTTGGCTACGCCACTGCTCTGCAAGTTTTCTCGCTGGGCTTCTTTAATGATGATGTTGTTGCTGTTGTTGATTATTGTTTTTTGTTTTTGTTGTTAATTTTTGGCTCAGCTTTTCGTTTCGTTGGTTTCTTTTGCTGGACTTGATGCTGTGGCTTGTGGCAGGGGCGGGGTCTGCGGCTGCTATTGCTGCTGTTGTTGCTGCTGCTGCTGCTTCAGCATTGCGTAAGCAGCGGATGACACCAGCTTTTACTTTCCTTAACTGAAATAAATGTGGAGAAATAATAAACAACATCCCATATAAATTAAGAGAAATACAATTTCAAGATGATGCGAATTTGAATTAATTACGAGGAAGTGAACAGCAAAACAAAAAAAAAGCATAGGCATTGCCTTTATTTAACTTACAATTAAAAATTATAAATCTGCGTTTTTTTCAAGCGCATTTGCATAAATTATTACAAAAAAAAAAAAAAAAAAAAAAAAACAACAACATTGCTTAAGTAAATAACGAAAACAACAACGACAACGAAGAGATTAGAAAGAAGTCGAGACAAATAATTCATAATTCGCTTCCATAGGAAATCTAATTAACATGCATTCAGCTATATATGCAAGTGTATGTGTATGTTAATGCCAATATGCATATGTATAAGTATTCAAACATACACACACACACTCACGCACGCACGCACGCATACAATTGTGAAGTAAAGAAAAACCTCACGCGATCGCAAAAAAAGTCTAAAATAACTCATATATATGTATATTATAAATATATATGGATATATTATGTACATATATACATACATATATATGCATAAAATATTTGTGTATATGTCAAGACTCATAAACTAAATACTAAATACAAACATACATAAAGCATAGTCAATGTGTCAGTTAGTTGCACAGTGGTAATAGACTGTAAAAATGGAAAATGGGAAAGAAAATAAAGAAAAAATTTAAAATAAAAGAATAAACAAATAAAAAAAAAATAATAAAAAAAAAACAAAATAAAATAAAAATTAAAATTGTAAAATAAATATTAAAAAATTAAAAAATAATCAAATAAGGTTTAAAATAAATAAAAGTCATTTGTAATGTTTTTAATTTGAATAAATTCTGATATTGCTTTAGTGCAATAATTTTGAATGAATGAAAATAAAAATAAATTGGTTTGAATTTAAGTTGTTATTTAAAATTAATTGTTGAAAATATATAAAATAATTGTTATTGCCTAAAAATAAATATTTAATATGAAATTATATAAAAATTGAAAAAAAAAAAAATAATAATAATAATAAATAAATAAAATATTAAATTAATTTTTGTATATTCTTGTCTTGCTATTTTCTACTACACTCGTACCACTGTGCAATGGGCGTGCTTTCCTTTAATTTGCAAAATAGGCAAAACCGCACCGACTAAAACGCAAAACACAAAACGCGATAGAAGTTCGTCTTAAGCTAATTTCAGCAAAGAAGGAAAGCAAAAGCCGCAAATAAATTTAAAGTAGAAAGTGAACGCGACGCCAAAGTCGATAAACTAAAGTTATTCGTTTTTATTTTTCTTCCTATTTTTGATTTTTGTTCATATTTGATTTGTTTCTAGAAGAAAGTTTAGTTCAAGATATAAAGAAATGTTCAAAGTGAAAGAAATGAACGAGTTGAACAAAATACATAAACAACTGTGTAAAATATGCTAAAGTCAAGCAAAAGACTGCAAAAGCAACAACAACAACAACATTAAACTGAAACTAAAATCAAAAACAAACGCAAAACCAGAAACAAACACAAACACAAAAGCAAAAGTGAGTGTGAATAATGTTGAGAGCGCCCACACAGCACATCGTGGAACTTGGTTTCGGTACAGCGGCTGCCACAAGCGAAAAGAAACAGCAAAAGCAACAACAGCAACAGCAGCGCAAAAGTTTACTGCAAAAGCTTAAGCAGCAACAGCAAAAGCTACACAAGCCATTGACAGCAGCGGCAGCGCAGCCAGCGGAAGCAGCAGAGACAAATCAAAAGAGAGCAGCGCGGGCAGCAGCTGATTATTATTTTAAGCAGCAGCAGCAGAGCGAAAAGTGTTTATTGTTGCTGGCGAGGACAATTACAGTTGAGCAGCAGCAGAACCAGCAGCAGCAGCAGCAGCAGAAGAAAAAGAAGGAGCATACGAGTTACAGTTTTGCAGCTGCGTTGCGGCGAAATAAAAAACCAAAAACAATAACAACAAACCCAGCAGCGGCACAGGCAGCGACAGCGACAGCGACAGCAACTGACGACGAGAGCAGCAGCAATCAAAGCTGTAGCAGCATTAATAGTAATAACAAAAACAACAACAGTTTGTCTAATAGTTGCATTAACAACCATAACAACAACACTCATTATAAAAACAGTAAAAACTGCAACAGCAACAGTAACAGCAGCAACAACAACTACATCAGTAATTACAATTTCAAAACAAGTGAACAACAAGCGTGGAAAACATCAACAATAATAAAAACAACAACAACAATAACAGCAGCTCCAGCCGCACAACAACAGCTGCTCATTAACAGCAGCAGTCGACGTAAAAGCAGCAACAATAACATAAACAACAACATGTCACCCACATCGCAGGCGCCTACACGTACATCGCTGTTCGATTCCTGTCATCGCAAGATCCGTCTGATTGGCGGCGGTCCAGTTGCCTTCTTGGGCGGCTTAGTGGCGTAAGTTGTTGCTCTTAAGTTTCATTATGGCTAAAGTAAATCAACCACATTTCTAAATTGCACATTTTCCCTCTTACATCAAACTCCAAGGCGTGGGACTATGTGCTGTAATAATATATTCTGATTGGACTGATTGACTTGAATGCGTACTTATGTAAAGCTTCTATTAACCCTCTCTTTGATATAAACATATCAAGAGTGTAATGTATTCCAATTGGAATTACTGGCAATCTCATTTGAGTAAACTGCTATGATAAACTTTCCTCTTTCTGTTTTCTCTCATGAAAGTCCTAAACGTGTCTGTAATTATTTATTCCAATTGGAATTTATGACAATTGTATTGGTCTAAGAATACAACCATTAACAGCTCTTTCTTATACGCACTTAGATCCACAGCGCTAGATAGCCTTATAGAATATTCTGTTCTATTTACACTTATATTTCGCTTTGCCTAAATACCTCTTAGTGCTCTAGTCAGAAGACCGAAAGCTAATTAGAATTTAAATACATGCTACGAGTAACGTGACCAGAGGTCAAACGAAACAGAAAACCCACCTTTTTCGGCTTAGATAAATAGCATTAGTGTCTTATTTACGTATTTTTTTTGTTTTATGCCTTTTAATTACAATAATTTCTCAGGCGGCTTTTGTTTAAGCAAACCAGCTAAAAGCTAAAAGCTCTTTGTAGTTCAAATTCAAGGCAAGGGCAATTAAAATATCTAAGAAAACAAAAACAACGTTAAAATTTTATGTTAAAGTTAGCTCAGCTGCCAAATAGGCCTGAAAAGCGTATTTTTGAAGGTCAAACACGCAGCGTGAGCTAACATCGCTGTTAATGTGCTGCAGTTAACAGTGTGCACGCAGCACTTGTTCTGTTGCTTAACAGTGTTGACGGCTGTTAATAACTTGTTCTGCTGCACTTAGCGGTTTATATACAAGAGCTTCTTGGTTTCCCAAAATAAGCATTAGCAATCAAATTTCAAAATTTAGTTAATTTTTTTCTTATTTGAGAATGCAAAGTTAAATGAACTCTCAGTGCGTGGTTGAAGGCGAGGGCCACAGATGAAGGCAAGCCAAATGACAACAACAGCGACGCCAACGCCAACGCCAGCAGAGCGCTGACTCTGTCAACACAAAGTGCGCTGAACTGATAATTAGTTAGAAATGTAAATATTGACAGAAGTGAGCGTGCATAAAAAAAAGAGGAGAGAAATACGTAACACAAACACGAACGCCAGGAAGAGGAACCAGCAAAAGGAGGCGCGTTGTCAACTGCTTTGCTCAACAACTCGCCCTCTGCTGCTCCCTCGCTCTGTCTCTCAGAGAGGAAACTTTGACTTGACAAAGGAATTAGCAGTGTGTTGTGTGACGCCTCTGCCGCGCTGGCCTTAATGCATGCAGCTAACTCGCTCACGCACATTGATTGACTGCTTGTACGTATATATGTGTGTGTGTGTGTGAGTGAAGACAATGACTATGAATATGCGTGAGAGTGTGAGTAGTCAGAGAACAAGGCAAAGACGAAGCGCAAGCACGTAACAAGTTATTGTACGTTATTGTTATTGTACGAGAGACAGAGAGGTAGCGGCAGAGCGCAGCGTAGATGATGATAAACCTGTCAAAGCGCAAAGTGTCAATGGGAGGCATACAAAATAAAATTTGCATAATAATGTCTATATACTTTGCTCTCTTTCTCTCTCGCTCTCTCTCTGTCCCTCTTTCAATCTTTATTCGAAGTTCGATACAAGAAGTCTTCAAAATTTGAATAAAAAATGATGTAAACAAAACAAAAAAGACGATATGCGAAGAGGCAGAGAGAAATACAAGTAAAAATATGACTGCATGAATAAGAAATACACATAAATGACTAATATTGTGTCTTAAGAGTCATTCAAACAGCTCATTGTGTGCATTTTGTTGCTAACTGTACTTTGTGGGCAGCAGGCCCAAAGGCTGCTGCTGCTGCTGGTTAGAAGGGTTTGTGGTGGGGGGCTAATTGAATGCTGTCAAGCGTTCAACGGTGACAAGCTCCAAAGTTTTGCTTTTCTTTTTGTTTTCTTGTGGCTTTTTAGCATTGAGATTTTCAAACAATTCGCAAATTGAAAGTCCAAACGGATTTCTTTAAAAATATATTTTTAAATGGTGTTACGCATACAAGCTCACACATACAAATTCACTCAAATTCACGCTAATACATGCACACAAATATATTGAAGGTCGCTGACCTAACTTTAGTATTGATAACTGCTGTTAATTGGGAAACTGTTAGGCAGCAGCGCAGAGCGATGATTGAAGACTCTCTGTTAAAGTCTAATAAGAATTGAATATGTTTGTACTAAAGCAGAGCTCTGAGTTGCATTTTCTAATAGGAATACGTGCGATTTACAAGTTACATTGTTCAATTTGTCTAATACGAATTGACTTGAATATTAAATTATCTAATAAGACCGATTATGTCAATAGTTATTCTTACTAAATTTATTTATGTTAAATTTTCAAGTTGGATCCAATATCCAATAAGAATAATATTAGACTCTCAAGCAGTTTTAACTGCGCTTTGCATCGCAGTAATCTTTTAAGTGTTAGCTGAACGATTGATTCTCTCTTTCATTTTCATGCACTTTCATCAATTTCGCTGCCTCTGAAAATAGTTGTTTTAATGCTTGATTAAATAAGTTACGACTCGGCCCCATTTGCCTTGGTAATCCTTTAAGCTGCTGCCATTAAACTGGACATGTTTTATGTGTTTGCACTTGCACTTTTCGCTTCTGCCTTTGTTTTGTTGTTGTTTGTTCATGTTTGCTTCACTCTGCTTGCTGTTTATTCACGTCTTTTGTAATTTATCTACTCTCTGGACTACTTTCCTTCGCTCTAAGTTTATGAGCTCCACATTTGACTCAATTTTTTTTTTGTACATTTTAATATCTCATGTGTTCTTTGTTGTCTGGCAAAATGTTTTAATTTCCTGTTCCAATTCAAAGCACTCCACATACTACATGTATATTGCGTCACAGTTGTTTTGTACCTTTTGGCCCTGAGGTGTCATGAGTTTTGCCAAGTGTTTCCCCGTTCGTCTGATTTTTAATTGAAATTTTTATTATTTTTTCTTATTACAACTGTCTTTAATATCTATTCTTGAATCTAGTTTTTCAATATTTGCATAGAATTAACTTACAATGTTTTATTGATTTTTTTTTTTTCATATTTAATTTTCATTTCTTTTAATATTTATGGCTTTATTATATATTTTTTATTTCTTTAGAATAATATAAAAAATTAACGTTTATTTCTTTTAATATTTATGGCTTTATTATATTTTTTTTATTTCTTTAAAATAATATAATTTATTCCAAAACAGTTTAGTTTCATTCCTTTTTTCCCCTTCCCCTCCTTCTTGATTATTCACTTTTATTTGTTTGTAAAGTCTGGCAACATCGTTAGTGACTAATGTTAAATATATGTAGAAATAATATTGTGACTACTGTTATATATATTTGTGTGTAACATTGTCACAAATGTTGTACTTATAAATATAACATGTATATCAGTATAACAGTGTGGCAATTCTTATTTGTATAGCACTGTGGCAACTGTTATATATATAGATATAATAGTTTATATCTATCTACATACATACATATATAACATTGAGAGAGAGCTACTCTTGCACTTATCAGCTGGTTATTGACCTCGAGAACAGCTGCTTTGAACCTGAACCTGAACATGAACCTGAACCTGAACCTGAACTGAACTTGATATGAACTTGATCTGAACTTGAGCTCATGCTCAGCAACGAATCTTCATCTTGTGCATGTTCAGAGGCAACACCTGTTGCTCCAATTCACCGCAGAGACAACGTTCATTGACATTCTGTGGGCCACTTAATGACTTCCCAAGATGGACAATTGGACAACAGCTGTTGCCAAAGCAGAAAAATTCCAACATAGATCGCAGATGTTAATAGCTGCGAGGTATGCTTGAAGAGTAATTAATTCCGGTGACAAAAGTGGAAGCAATTGATGGGAGGGCAAGGCTATAAACGGGGGAAAATAAAAATGTAAAATTATAGTAAATAAAATACATAAATAATATATTAATTAACATTAATACAAAATCTAAACAATATTTAAGAATTAAGAAGCAAAATCTTATGCAAATAATAAATATTATATAAAATATAAAATATTTAAAGATTAATATAATTAAAATGGAATAATAGTAAATTAATAAAATAATAATTAATTAATTAATAAAATAATAATTTAATAATAATAAAATAACAAAAAAATATATAATAAAAAAAAGATACTAAATTATATGAAATAAAGCAATCATAAAATAATGTTACATAAATAAAATATTACTTATAAATGAAAATTATAATAAAATCATTATCAAATTATAAATAATTATATACACGAATGAAACAAGAAACTCTTAAAAAAAAAAATTTAATTAAATCTTCATTTAAGCTCCACTAATAGATTAACATTTTAAATGATTTTTTTTTATTTGCAAGATTTGATTATTAATAGATTTCCCACGGTTCATTTCTTTTTCTTTTTACATTCAACTCCAATATTTATGATTGATTAATATTTGAATGAAATATTAGTATAATTTTGCTTAATTTTATTAATATGAATTTAATTTTTTTTTCTGCGCGAAATATTTATATTTCTATCCTCTTTATTTATATAGTCAGATAAAAAAACAGTAACTTATTATCGAATATAAATTTAGATTCGCATCTAATTTTTCTCTCTCAACTAATAATTTCTCACAGTGTATTCGTTACTGTTGTCAAATGCCGTTTGTCTATTCTATTGCGGTAATTATGCATAAGCAATTGACATAAAACCAACTGGATAAAACCCCCTCGGTCTGTCCCTCTCTTGCTCCTCTTCAAATGCCCCATTCTGAGTGAGGCCAAAAGCGTTTCTTTTGCTCTTGTTGCTGAGTGTAATTATTTGTCCATTAGCTCTTCTTGGCATCTGTTAC